ACTTAGGTCTTGCAGACATGATACTTGGAATGAAAATCTCTAGACACACTAGAGGAATATATTTGAGTCTTTCCCATAGCATTGATAAAATGCTAATCAAATTCAACTTTCATATCTCTAAACCTGTTTCCACACCTTATGATTCTTCTATATCCTTGAAGAAGAATGAAGGTGAACCTGTCTCCCAGTTGAAATATTCTCAGATGATTGGATCTCTTCTTTACATATCCAACCGAACCAGACCCGATATAGCTTATGCTGTAGGGAGACTGAGTCGGTATACTAGCAACCCTAGCAAAGATCATTGGACTGTCTTAGAAAGAGTATTCAAATATCTGAAAGGCACAATTGACTATTGCTTGACTTATACTGGTTACCCTGATACTATAGAAGGGTATAGTGACACCAACTGGGTCACGGATTCGAACAGTATAAAGTCTACATATGGATATGTATTTCTTTTTGGTGATGCTGCTGTATCCTGGAAATCATGTAAGCAAACAGTAATTGCCAGGAGCACCATGGAATCTGAGCTGATTGCTCTTGATACTACTTGCACAGTAGCCGAATGGTTAAAAGATCTTCTCTGAACTTCCTTTGGTCCCTAAACCCTCTCCTCCTATTTCCATTCACTCTGATTCTAGATCTACCATAGAGCTTCTAAAGCAAGTACATGTAAATAAAAAACATAACAGACATATTCAAATAAGATATAAGTCTGTACAATGCCTGTTAGGCAAAGTTATGATCTTGGACTTTGTAAAGTCTGAGAAAAATCTTGCTGACCCTTTGACTAAGGGATTATCCAGGAGTGTGGTTCTGGATTTATCGAGGGAGATGTGATTAAGCCCATAAATGAGGTCACTGACAGCGGCAACCCAATCCTTATTTGGAGACGTAGTCCTAATGTCGGTTCAATGTGGTAGAAACAAGCTTGACAAGTGACTCTCGTGTGGAGCATCGACCTAGATATATTTATATATCATTATGTAGCATTTGCTACTACCCCTTCTCTATGGTGACGATGCTCTTATGATACAGCTGGCTAGGCTGAGTTTTACTCTTAATAAGTCCAACGCGTGTATTGTGGGGGGTATTAAATAAACAGCTGTAGTACCCTTTGAGGACTTACCTACGTGAGAGGAACCGTGATGGCCGCGGTTGGGGGGGCAGGGCTGACCCCTAAAAACTCTCATGAGTCGGTTTTTTGTGAGCATGGCCTTTAACGCTCAACCCGCTTAGCTCAATAGATGAAAACGTATTGTGTGTGTTTTTATCAATACCTGATCCAAGGGGCCTAATTCAAGGCCTAGTCCATTATGCCCCTCAGGTGACGATGAACTCACTAAGGAAAGGTTCAAAGCCGAAAGCTACCTCTCCTGAATTCACGATACGAAAGGTTGCCCAACCTACATTTATTTTGTGATTTATTTATTGATTTATTATTTTGAATTTTCAGTTAATATTGCCTTTTAGGGGGGGACTGTTGGAAGCTTTGTTCATGAAAAGGCAATTTTGCCTTTGTGAATAGTCCCACATTGGAAAATGAGATGAATAGTAAAGGGTATATAATGATTCTCTCCTTATTGGGCTTTGAATAGTGTTTTGGGTTTTGTGGGCTTTGCATATCTACCACACGCGCGCGCGCACGCACGCCACGCCACGCCTCGCCTCACGCGAGCGCCACGCCGTACCGCACACATTTTTGCTTCTCAAGCTTTTATTTTTGCACGTTTTACATGTTTTGTAACGGCTGCATGCGGGTAACGGAAGCAAGACTTGTGCATAACAGTTCCTTGGATTCAGCGGGAGTTACACTTCTCCTCACCTATATAAGCAAGCTTGGAGCTCATTCAGAAACACACCAGCGAAGAGAAGAACTTCTAAGCTCTCTTCTTTCTCTACTCTCATTTCTCCAAGAAATTTGCTACATATTTATATTTCTAATTTTTGGGCAACCGTTTTTGTCTGAGCATAAGCTCTGTGACTCACGCCCGAGTGCAGAGGCCGGCCGATTCCGGGGGTTTTTACCGCTAGGGAAGAGGGGACAAATTGCGCCAGGGCGATAGGCGGGTCCTTAATCTTCTAGGGCAGTGACATCACGACTGCTCCCGATCAGGTCTGAATTTTCTGACTCTTTAATTTGTTTTTTATATTATTATATTCCTATTTTGACAGCAAAATTAGCTATAAATTTCGATGATTCATTTCATTATTCAAATGAAGAATGGATTCCTCTGGAGGATATAACTTTCTTTATATATCATGATTTGAATTTGGATGTTCAATTCGATTTTAAAAGATTTGAACAAGGATTAGATACATGCCACATACAACGAGACTAAATTTAAGTTTACCTCACTATTAAAATTTGAAATGACATGCAGCAAAACAACGCTCAAACAATTCATTAGACGAAGAATTTTATCAATGATACTAATGACACTATATCAGTTACCATTTCAAGATAATTATATAGATACATTTAATATGAAATTATCTTTAAGGATTTGTTTTATAGAAATTATCTATAGTCTTAATCACTTTATCTTTAGGCTTTTTTTTTGCCTATCAAATTTCTTTCTCCCAGATATTGTTCTTATTTTATTAAGATTTGCAGTTTGTTTCAATGTTTCAATGTCCTCTACTATCAAGTATGCAAACATCATCCTTTCTTATTTTTGTTAGATTCTCTTTTTTTCTTCTAATTTACACTATCATATAGAAGACTTATTCATGATTCGATTCCACTTTGTTAGTTTGTGCTCACTTATATTTGTAAACTTTAGCATTGTGATTATTACATTGTGATTATTTATATACTTTGATTTTTGTTTGTATGGGGTATGTATATATTCTCGAAGTTGAGTTCTTATACTTTTTAAATAATTTTCAATTACTATTGCATGAAAGGTTTTTTTAATAATATATGCTTATTTGCACTATAACATCCCAAAGTTTATTTTAGCGGTTGATAAACCTAAAATTATAAACATCATCCTAAAAATTTAAATAAACTACAAAAAACCCCTTGAAAATCTAAAAAAATACAAAAACACCTTGACAAATCCAAAATTGCAAAAACTACCTTGAAAACCATAAATTTAGAACAATCCCCTTAATAACTTGTGATCAGCTAAATTATAAGATCGGTATTTTTTTTAAATCCCTCTTACTAGTTTGATTATTTTTCTAGCTCCGGCGGTGTTTTGGTATTTTTAAGCCAAATGTGCAATTAGACCTACAACTTCATTGCTGGGGTAAAAAAGCATTAAAATTGCAAATTACAAAAAATAGCTAGAAATTTGAAAATTATAAAGAACACACTGAAAATAAGAAAGCCTGGATCAACCCTCTGAACAATTTGAAACTACAAACAACAACTAAAAGACCTCAAAGATTATTAAAAATTATAAAAAACAACTTGAAGAATCTAAAAATTACAAAAAAACCACAAAGTCCAAAAATTTTCGATCTGACCCCTAAAATTACAAATCCCCCAAATTTTTTTACCACAAAACCCCTTGAAAATTTGTAAATTATGAATAACCCCCTTAAAATCGTAAAATGATTAAAATTACAAATAGCTCCATATTTCACAATTAAAAACAAGCTCCTAGAAAGACCATTACAAACCATCTCCTTAAAATTCAAAAATATATAAACATTGACTTTGGAGTTGAATATTCTAGAATTGACATTTTAAAAATTCGCAAACAGTGGAATTGGAATTAGTTACCAACTTTCTAATTCTAGAAATTGAAATCCTTGAATTCAAACACAACCTTAATGTAATTAAAAAAAAAAACACATGATATTTGAAGATCCCTCTAAACTCCATGATCTCCCTGAACAAAGGACGACAAATGCTATAAGATTTCAACGGGAGTTCACTTTGGGTGGTTAATTATATGTCCACGTTATCTCTTTGATACCATAGCTTTTTATGAAATTGCTCTTAGTGCGTAAACTACGTGTGCACTTTCTTTTGCCTTGGGTACTATTGTGTATTTGATCTATAAGAGTTTTGCTATAAAGAAATGATATCTCTCAAAGCTTGAAAATTTCCCTCGAGAAGTCAAGGCTTTGATACCTTATGATTTTAGGGGAGATGTCGGTTTCCCTAAATAATGTTGTTGTTATTTAACATAAAAAGTATGATGTAGCAATTTTATGTGAACTTAGTTTTTGGTTCAAAATGTTTTACCCATATTGAAAATCATATAGCAGTAAATATCAGGGTGTCATATGGGATGATGCGCATATATAATATAATATCCTAAAATGTAATTTAAACATACTTCATGAAATTTAAGAAGATAAAAATGTAAATAATATATGTTTACGATCATTAACCAATTAAAGAAACTCATTGAGGGAAAAGTGCCTACTAGAATATGCTTAAAAACGTCATAGGGATGGAATATTTGCTAAAAACATTAAAGAAATTTTGCATAACTATATTGCTTGGTGATAAGCCATATCAAAAGGACATATTGACCCACATATTGGTTAATATATCGGCCATATCGGAGATATACCACCGAAAAATGTCAAAAAAGGTGAAGGATATTCAGAGCATATCGTTTTGTGACAAGCCTTGCAAAAGGATATATTAGTTGGATTTATCAATTATACCGGGTATATTAAATACAACGCTTACTGATATAGTGAAAGATCCCTCTACTTGTCCATGGATGTAGGGACAAAAGTTTTGCCGAACATTAAATATGGTTGTCCATTGTGATCGGTTGTGCTGTTGTTATTCACCCACTCAACGGACAATGGGAAAAGGTAACATATTTAGACATTACAGAGTCCCCCCCCCCCCCCCCCCCCCCCCCCATCAAACGTGGGACTAAAGTTGTCACGCAATTTTAAGCAGCACAAAAACATCCACAACAAATTGCCTTTTATTTGTACAATCAAGCTAAGGCCTCGAAATTCTGTTTCTTAAACAACCACCAAAAGCAAAAAACGAAAAAAAAATCAAAACTCACCTCAAAGACAACCGCACTTCAAAATAACTGTCGCGAATTCCTCACTGGCATGCCATATGCTATCAGGCAACATAAAATAAAAAAATCGAGTAACTCTACTCGAAGTGTTGCGATCTGAGAAGAGCGAAACCCTAGAACGAGAATCTGGTACGGGGATAAGAAGGGCAACTGGGGGATTTATGCGGTGGTTGAAGGGGTTAGAAAGAGACGGCATTTTTTCAGATTTTTTTTTATTTTGCGCCCATACAACTAAGGAGTTGACGCAACGACTTTAAATGCGAGGAGACTATGAGAGGGGATGAGGAAGATGTGGCCTTGCTTGACGCACGCTACCTGAGAGCCACTTGAGATCTATCGTAAGCGAAGACCAGAGGAGACTATGAGCGGGGATAAGGAAGATGTGGCCTTGCTTCTCACGCACGCTACCTGAGAGCCACTTGAGATCCAGGGCCGGTCCTGACATATTCGGGGCCTTTGGCAAAATTAAAAAATGGGGCCTCTTAGAATCAAACATTCAATTTGTAACAACGATATTTTATTTTATTGAAATTAAATATAAGATTACAAAATTATAAAAAACAATTTCTTCTAGCATTATTTGATGCAAAGTCGTTAATAATGGAATCAATATCTATGTTTTGTAACATCTCATTCTCGATGCATAGCATTGTTAAATTGTTCAATCTTTCTTGTGCCATTGTTGAACGTAAGTAGGTTTTGACCAACTTCAACTTTGAAAAACTTCTTTCCGCTGAGGCTACAGACACAGGCAAGGTTAATAAGATTCGATAGTGATGCGGCATAAACATGTACCAAAAAGGTTGCAAGTGCACAACCGTGTCAAGTTATAGTATTTAAAATATCGATCCCACGAGGAAGGTGTTTTGTAGGAGAAAATATAAAATCGGTTCTTATGTTATGTGCGTGACAAGTAGGAGTGATAAGTGAATGTGATTGTGAAGAGATTGAGAGAGTGAAAATGGTGTGTGAATAGGTACAAAGTGTAAGTGAGAGTGGATTTGAAAAAGAATGAGTATGATCAATAAGTTGAGAAGGAAAAATGAATAAAATCAAGAAAAAAAATAAAAAAAATCAAGAATAAAGAACAAAATTCTAGAATAAAAGAAAATGCAAGAAATTAAAGATGATGGATTCAATTATAGATATGGATAATCTAAAATTGAACCCACTTCTTAGAAAATGGTGATTCCCTAGAGGGTTCTAACCTAAAGGCGATTCAAACAAAATAAAAATAAACAAAAAGAAAAAAAAACTAAACCCAAGAGGGTTCTAGCCTCAAGGTGAATAGTATAAGAAATTAAAATCTAACTACAAAATAAATTACAAAATCTAAACTACAAAATAAAATTGCAAGAATTAAATGCAAGAAAATAAATCTATTCTATAAGCATGAAATAAATCTAAGGCAAGAGGGTTCTAGCCTCTTGGCTATTTAACAAGAAAATAAAATCTAAACTACAAGCATAGAAATAAATCTACACTAATAAGCAATAAAAAAGAAAAAGAAAAGAAATGCAAACCTTCAAATAATTCTCCATCTTCATCTTCATCTTCATCATCCAACAAAGAGAAGAAGAGAAAAAATTTAAAGTGGTGAAAAATTATTATTATTAATTGCAACAAAAAGTTACAATTTTGGAAATCGATGCCCACTATTTCTAAATTCTGATTTCACGGATAGCTTCGTCTCGTCGAGATAGGCGATTTTCATATATTATATGTTAAATTCCGCCTTCCGGATTAGGAGATATCGTCGTTTCTTTGTGGCCAACCATTTTGAATATGATTTCTTTTCATATTGGATTTTTGATTTTCTCCGGCTTCTACAGGCTACACGACTTCATTCTGGGCTTTTGGATAATTTGGAAATTGATTTTCCAATGTGCTTCTTTGCTTCATTTCTTCATTTAATCAATGGGTTTTTGTTGAGAGATGAGAGTTTGAGATTTATTCTTCATTAACCTGCAATTAAAAGATAAAAATAATTATTAGTGGTATATTTATTCATATAAAATAGATAATGAGGGTATAAAATTGTAATAAAATATGATTATCAAATACCCCCACACCTAAACTTTTGCTAGTCCTCTAGCAAAGAAAATAAAAAAAAATCCTAACTCACTTTCGCAGGAATCGCGGTTGTATTTAGCGTATACAACAAGCCTTTAAACCCCAAGGTTACCCTAGTGGACGAGTTGTAGTCTCGTGAGGGTTTGCAGTGAATATACCCACAAAATTCGGTCAATCTTGCCAAATTAAAGAAGTCAGTAAATAACTAAATTTACTTGATAACTTTTAGATAATATAATTGGAGCCAGTTATCACTTAAGAAAACGTTTTTATATATAACTCTAAGGTATATTTTTAAGAAAATCTTCTCATTATAGCAATACAAAACCAAGCCAAACTTAGAAATTTAATTTAAAAGTTTTGAAAAGAACATGCTAACTCTTTGTTTTAAATAATTTTCAAGTTGCTTGATTTAAAATATTTTCCAAGACCATATATACAACTATAAAACATTTATTAGTTTTTTTTAACTCTTTCTTCCTTGGTGATTATTTTTACTTTAACGGGCTTTCTAATTGACCATTTAACGAGTTTTAGGCCAATTGATCCCAACCCAAATGGGCTTAGGTCATTAAGTATGGAAATACTCCTTGGGCTTAATTACTCGGTCAGCTTAGGCTTTATAAGATAGAATCACCTTGAATTAAAAAGTTTTTTTTCTTTTTGGTGCCCATTTTTCGCACTCTTCTTTTGCAATTTTTTTTGTATATGTAATATATATTTTGAAAATATGTAAATCAAGACACTTTGAAAAAATTATTTTCAACTCTAAGTTAAGCATGCAAAAATTTCATTATTTTAAATAAAAGTCCAAGTTAAGGCTTAAGTAAAGTATACTACTTTGAAAATCATTTCTTAAGAAATTTATTTAGAGTTATCATAAAAGGTGAACTTAAGTAAATAACCAACTAGGGATTAGAAAATTTCAAATAAATTAATTTTTACTTAACTCTATTAATTTGGCAAGTGACAATATTTTTATAATTTTTTAAGAAAAAGGAAAAAATGACAAAAATGCAACTAAAAATATAAAATAAAGAGAAAAAATTAACTAATTCTCACCCCACATCTAAATTTTGTATTGTCCAACTCTATGATGCATAAAGTAAAGTAGATAAGAAGTGAAGCACTTACATTTGGTCGGCTGATAAAAATCTGTAATTACCTTTTGTCTGAGGAGGATGAAATCAAAAATTTATTCTCTTTTTTTTTCTTTTTTTTTCTTCTTTTGTTTCTTTTTTCCTTCTTTTTTTTTCTTTTTTTAACAACTGAACAAGAAACTCTCAAATGAGAGAAGAATAAATTCTTTTAATTATTCTGAAATAAACAAAATAAACAATGTAGAATGAAATATTCAATATGAAGAGTTCATGTTCTACATTGAATCCTACCTTATTGCTGAAAATTCTCCCACGGATTTTAAATAAATTCAACATGATATAATCAACAAAGTGCTGAAATTCTAAGCATTCCGGGGTGTTCAATGATTTTTGCAACAAGGTAAGGTATGTATTATTGGTGTCATGCATTTTACATTTCTTAATGAACTTAGACTCTTGTACTGTGAAGTTTTGTTTTCTAACAACCAATTCTTCTGTAGAGTTCTAAAAATTTGGTTGTTGATTATTAAAAATTTGGTTGTTGTTTATTTTCCAAAAATCTTAGTTCATCAAGAAAGAGTTTTTCAAAATTCAGTTCAAAACAGCAATTGTCCAACACAGTTTCTTTATTTTGACAAACCCGATCTGCTTCTCCTAATATTTTTAGCTCCTCACCGAAAATTTCCTCAAAACTTAGATCTGACTCTTCTTCTTCTTCCCTCGGTCTTTCCTGAATTGAATTATCAGGGGAAGAATGAATTGGAATAAGAATTTGGCTTAAAGGTGTTCTTTCCTGATTATCGACATGTTTTCCTGACTGTAGTGCATTCATTTCAGTGTCCTTAGGATTGACCACGGGTTGACTCTGAATTTCTCCTTCCTCTACTTCACTTATGACACTAGCTAGTTGATCAATATGTGTTTCTAATCTAGCTAGGGCTTGAGTGTTAGAGTTAAGTATGAGTTCGGTTGATTGCATAAAGGAATTCATTGTGTAGGATGTTTGAGTTAACATATCCGTGGCTAGTGTGGAGGCCTTAATAATGATTTCAAAACCTTTTTCCAAAACATTGAGACGTTCATCATGATCTGTATCAAGAGGAGTGTGAGTTACAACTTGATGATGAGGAGACTGATTTTGATGTGACATATTAGGTTGTTGAAATTGTGGATGAGAATTGAAAGGAACTGTGTTTTCCCTTGGAAAATGTTGGGTCAAAGAGGGAGTGAAGTTTTGAGTTTCGGAGTGGTTTCCCTGATTCCATGCAATGTTTGTGTAACTTGCCCAACCTGGGTTGTAGGTTAGAAAAAATGGATCATTTACCGAATACTGATATGGACTCTCTTCAAACTCCCGAACTTCATTGGAAATTTCAATCCTATTGGGATAACATAAATTTTGAAAAACTTGTGGATTAGCCATTTGTTCAAAATGAATTTGTTGATGTGTATTGTCCCTAATCCACGTTTTGCATGCACCAAAAACAATTTCTTTTTATACTTTTTTTTTAAAAGTTAGTTTTTTTTAAGAAGAAAATGGAAAATCCTAACTAAAACAAATCAAAATCAATCACTTTTCAATCACTCTAACTCTAGGGTTAAGCCTAACTCAACTAGACTAGCTCCTAACCAAAAATTCCTTAAGTGAAAAGATAAAAGTTTTACCCGGGTAGTTAGCCAGGTAAGGATAGTACTAGAGGGTGATCAAAGATCAATTAAGTACCTCTTTTCTTGCGGAGCGCTTTACGCAACCCCTAAACCTTGTCTTAGACACCAACTAATCCAAGAAAACTTAAACCGGTTCACTTAAGGATTCTTTGTTCCTTATTGAGCTCGAATCCTTAGGGCAAACGTCTAATGAGTTTTATTAGGCTTGGGTGGTGTAGTGAGGAATTAGTGATTTTTGGGCTAAGGAATGGATGATGAAATCCCTCACCTTATCTTGATTATGGAGTTTTACCCTTAAAAATATTTTAAAGTATGTGCCAAATCAAGATGCTCAAATCACTTGGTGAATTCCTACTAACTATATGAAATGCAACCCTATGAATTAAAAGCAACTAAAAAGGATGGGAAAAAAAATCTATTTCTTTTTTTTAATTAGGGTTAACAATCAAACAAATGAGAAGGGGGGATTTGTTTGAATTTATTATCTTCAAACAAATGAGAAGGGGGGATTTGTTTGAATTTATTATCTTGTTAGTAAATGTCAAA